GACAGTTCATAAATTTTCAATTGTGCACCGTTCTGAATAGCGTGTTGAAATGTCATCATCATGCCCAGGATGTGAGTCATCCCTTCGTCCAGCACGTCTGCCCCCGCCCCCCCCGGGTCACTTTGCTGCGTCTGGGCTGTCAGAGGGGCTGTGGCAGCATGGCAGGGCCTGTGTTCGGTCACCCTCGTTATAATTAAACATGCCACAGTCGGCCCTGGCCCGTGTGGCTCAGTGGGTTGGAGTGTCATGTCGTAATCGAAAGGCTGTAGGTTCGATTCCCCATCAGGGTGCACTCCTGGGTTGCGGGTTGGATGCCTGGTCTGGGCACGTGTGGGCGGCAACCAGTCAATATTTCTCTCTCTCTCTCTTCCCCTCTGTCTCTCTCAAATCAATGCACATGCCCTTAGGTGAGGAAGGAAACGCCACAGTTAATAATTTTTATTACTGTTCCACTTTGCCGTTAGTTGTTGTTAACCCCTTACTATGACTAATTTATAAATTGAACTTTTTTTGTAGGAAAAAACAGTATGTACGGGTGTGGGCAACAGTGGGTGCACAGTTGCACTGTGACATGTTTTTGAGTTAATAAAGTCAATGTAATAGTATCATAATCTGCACATCTTTTTCTGTATGAAGAACTGTGAACCTCCTCCTGCCCACCCTGTATAGGGCTAGGGACTACCTGGGGTTTCAGGCAGCCTCCGGGGGTCTGGGGACAGGCGCCCGACAGTCAGGGGGACTGCCGTACCCTCCATGGTGAGCCCCCTGCTGGACCAGGGGCCTGCTGGGCCTTGAGGGCCCACGCCTCGGTTGCCCAGGTTTTGCCGCTTCAGGCAACGCCCATGTTCTCCACCATTGCTCTTCAAAGCTCGGGCTTTGCGCCAGATGAGACTGCAGGCCACGGTGTCGCCAACCAGCCTCTCACTCCTGAGCCCTGGGGCTGTGGTGAGCACCCAGAGGCACCATCCGGGGCCCCAGCTTCTGTCAGGGCACCGTCGTTCCTGGAAACAGCTGCCCATGCCCAATGCACACAGTGTGCCGACACCTCGGTGGTGGGACAAGCCTGTCCCCGACCAGCAGGCCTCCCCAACCTCCAGACTCCAGACAGAGTCACCGGGATGTCGCCCCCTTCTCTCCCAGGGGACCCCTTTCTCCCTGTGCACGTTGGTCCACCGTGCTGGGGTGACAAGGTCTCCAGGAGAAGCAGCAGCCTTCTTGGAGCCGCAGAAGGTTCTAGCTCCTCACCCTGGTGGTGTGTTCGCCCTCCCTGCCAGTCGGAAAACACCCCCACGTTAGGGGAAACCCCGCCGGGCGTTTCCTGGGGAAGCAGTGAACCCCCACTTCGAGGTGGCTTTCTCTTCTGCCTGCTCTCTGACCTGGTTAGAAAAGGACAACGGAGCTCAGCCTCAAGGGCCTTTCTGTCGCCCTGTTCCCAGACGCAGGCAGAAGACTGTCTGGTATAAGACTGTGTGGTATAAGGAATCATTGCCATCGCCACCCTCAGCCCCGCAGGAAACCCGCCCGGGTTCTGAAGAGTTGTACAGCTGACCACACACTTCTTGGCTCCTCGTCTCCCTGGAGCCTTAGGTCTGTTATGAGGACTGGGCGGGGCGTGACTCTCCCTCAGGAAGCTCGGACGTCATGGCCTGTCCAAGGCCACAGAGCACAGAAGTGGGGGGGGGGTGGGCAAGTCTAGAACTGTGGGCAAGTGTGTACACTTGCCTTACAGGAGGAGGTCCTGTTCTAGACCGTCAGAAAGCCAAGGTCTTGACCTTGAGTTGCTTAGAACCTGACTTGGCTTCTCCAGTGCCGTGAGCGCCAGCGTGCCGGAGGGTTCTCCCTGGCGAAGGCGGCCCGGGTTGGAAGGAGTCCGGCGGCAGCTTCCCGGCCCCTGCGCTGGTCACAGCCCAGACTCAACTGGCCGTCCTCACGCCTGGGGGTGGGGGGCTCTCCCAGCGTTTTGACGGTGTAGCACAGCCCCAATTCTGGGTTGGGGGGCCCTCTGCGCACGGTCGAGTTCTCAGGGTGGGCGAGGGCTCAGGCTGCCGCTCAGGGCCCGGGAGCGCTGTCCCCTGGATTCGGGGCAGAGAGCGAGGTCTGTGGGAACTTTGTGATCGCGCCCACAGGGACCGGGAGGGCTGGGCAGGGCGCTTGGCCAAGGGAGGGGGGTCGGCGTTCGAGCTGCAGACACGTAGAGGCACGTAGGTACAAAGGGTGTGGGTGGTTCACATTTTGTTGGGAGAAGAAACGTGAGAACCAAAAGGCCTTCCTCTTGCCTTCTGGCCTGGAACTCTGGATGGAGTGGAGCGGAGTGGGTTCTTAGACGCTGGGGTGGGGCCCTTGACTGGTTTCTCTTCCTCCCCTGCCTTCTCTCTCTCCTCCAACCACCCCCCCTTTCCTTTCCGCCCCCTCCTCCTCCTCTCACCTGCCTTCCACCTGTCTTCCCTTGAAGTTCCAGCCAGGTCTCAGATACGTACGCATGGCACCAACCCCGACCCAAAGAGACAGACGTGTCAGACGCCCATAGTCGGCCCCTGCCCACTGGGCCGCTTCCGTAGAAGTCTGGCTGCCAAACAATAAGTAAAAAGGGGCTCTTACCCCACAGCTAGAAAGGGGCAGCACCCCGCAGCATGAGCGGGCGGTTCCAGGGCTCAGAGAGCACGCGCTTCCCGCACCTCTGGGTGCCCAGGGCCTGGGGTGCCAGGAGGGGGAGCAGCACGGGAGGGGCCCGGTGCCCCGTGTCTGCCGAGCAGGGCTCAGCACAGTGAGCAGGAGAGCCAGCACAGGACACCCCCCGGGGGGGGGGGTGGCGGCCTGCCCAGGAGCAGAGAGCAGTGCTTCCTTCCCGGTGTCAGGCCGAGGGGGGCGTGGGCAGGAGAAAGGGCAGGCGCCCAAGTGCGGGTTGTCGTTTAAGGAGGGAGGTTTCCGGCGGGAGCAAAGCAGGCGGGCGCTGTCCCCGCGATGCCCACCGTCCCACCGTCCCACCGGGCGCCTCGTGATCAGCGAGCCTGCTCCCGGAAGAAGACACCTGTGTCACGTCCTACTGAACAGTGATGAGAAAATGACACAGGACGTCCCATCGGGTGTGAGGGGTGCCTCGTCCTGGGCGTCACGGGGCCCCGTGGGGTTCGGCGACCTTCTGCACAGACCGCTGAGTCGGGCGGCCTAGTGTGTCAACCTCCAAACCGGGGGCGTTCAGTCCACCGCGGAAGGGCGGCCAGGGAGCGTGGCCTCCACCGAGAGGGCTCAGGCCTGTGTCCGACCTCGACTGGAAGGTCATCCTGCTGCGCATTACCTGCCTGCTACGTGCCCAGGCTTAGGCTCTTGATTTATTTTATCCTCCTTATGTCCACGCTGGCCCCAGGGGGCCATTGTGGATGTGCCCATTTGTCACGTGGCAAGCCGCTGTCGCAGGGGTGATGTCACTTGCCCAGGGAGGCAAGTGATTGGACTGTCACACTGGCTGTCCCTCCCCGTGCTGCTCTGACCTTCCCTCCTCTGCCACGGTGTCGGTCTGGCTGATGGATGAACTAGACCTTGACAGTGATAAAGGGCTGGCGCAGCAAATAAGAGACGGAGAGGCAGTTGCACACAAGGGTCACGGCGACCTCAGGGCCACGTCACTGTGAATCCAACAGGTTCAAATGGGCTGCTCCAGGCCCTTCACGACGAAGTTCCCGTTAAAGAGCAGGTGCCTCCCAGCAGCCTTGGAAACCAGCTGGGGTTTTACATGTCTCTGCTTCCCACTCGGCAGCCGCAAGGCAGGTGTTGGCTGAGATGTCACTGTGTGCTGGGAGGTGACAGGGACGTTTTGTCCTCGTTTCCAAGGGACTCGAAGCCGTCTGGGAACAGTACACAAGGTACCAGAGCCGTTTTTCCTTTGCTGTTTGGATGGATGTTCCTTATTTTCTTGGCTCCCTTTGTAACCATGCTATTTCATTTTTTCAGTGGGGCTTCATAGAGTACCGGCCTTCTGCTAAGTGAGCGGTGGCTGCTCTTCATTTTGCTTTATTTGCATTTATTGGAGGCTGTTTTCTCAGGTGTTACATAGACACACGCGAGGAGGGATCCACGCAGTGCCCTGTGGCACCGCGGAGAGTAGGGCCCTGCCTCTTCTCAGGACCCGGGCCTTGCCGTGTGTAGTCACACCTGGCCCAGTAACTCCCTGCAAGGACTGCGGGCAGGAGCACCTTCGAAAGCATTTAGGAAGCTGTGACGTGCAAGTCGGTGGCCACTGTTAGAAGGGAGTCGTTGCCTTGTGGAAACACGAGCATCGATTACTTCAGAGCAGTCCTGCGTTTCCCTGACTGGGCCGTGCACGCGTGAGGCGCTGTGAGGGCGTCCGCCCTTTGCTCTCCGCGGTGACCCCGGTCAGCGGTGCCGGGCTCCCGAGCTCGCCGGGGAGGTGTGTCATGTAGAAGTTCCACTGAACCCTGAAATGGTCTTGAGGGCTCAGGGTAGATCTGGGACATGTCGGAGGACATGGAGACGGGCAAGTTCCCTTAAAAAATTTGGTATCTAATGCAATTAGAATGAGCCCTTTCGCCTACAACGCAAGACAGAGTGCTCTTCGTGTTGTGCCAATCCACTTCCAGAAGAGGGCGACTGTGTGGGCACAAGGATGTCCTTGCAGGCGAAGGGCAGTTGCTGTCCTCGGCTTCCTCATTGTTCCTGGGGGAGAGGGTCACGGGGGGCTTCACGGAGGAGGGGACACATCATCAGGTAAGGAACCTAGCATGGCCGACAGCGTAGCAAGTGATCCGGCCAAGTGACATGGTCGATACAAGAGGCCGAGCCAGGTTCTCCGAGATGCCAGCGCATCCGATGAGCAGAAATCGTCATGTGATGGCGTCTCACCCTGCCGTGGTTTTAATCTTTGGGCGTGGAGTGCGGTTTGGGGCTGTTCCTTCCCTTGGGCCGATGGGGACAGACACCCGAGGGGGCAGTGGGCCCCGGCTGGTCCCGGGGCTCACGGACGCCCGCGGATTCTTGTCTTGCAGACGGCAGCGGCCTGCACTCGGCCCGCGTCTGCGAGAGCACCGTGCACAGCCGGGTCTTCCAGATCCTCTACAGGAACGAGGAGGTGCCCGTCGGCGACGTCGCCGTCTTCTGCGCTCACCTGCTCTTGGATGGGGAACGGGTGAGTCCCGGGGTCCGCCGGCCGCCGCGCGCTGCCCCTTCCCTGCGCCTGTCCTCTCCGTCGAGGGGTGCGCGGTCACGGAAGCCGTGGGTTCGCCGTGCAGTCTGACCGATGGGGGGTCCGTGATGGCAGGACACGCCTGCAATCGCTCACGTTGGTGCGCCCCTTCTTCCACGCCTGCAGTCGCCCATTTCCTCTTCCGGGAAGTCCCCTTGGACTGACCTGCCGACTCTCCTCCTCACTTGCCCTTTGCCCCTTTGTGTATCGGTCCAGGCATGCTCTGTGCGCACCTGCTTTGTGCAGGGCTCGGGGTGCAGGTTGGGGCGAGGGGGATCCCGAGGAAGGCAGCGAGCAGGCCCCTGCCCTGGAGGCACTGGGGAGGGTCAGGGGCGCGGTGTCGGCAGTGTGTCACCACGCGCCCGGATGGAGGATACCCACAGAGCCCTCTGTGTAGACGGAGGGGCAGTGGCGCTCTGGGGAGGGACGGGCGGGCTCTGAGAGGGGTCAGCGGCTTCTCCAAGCAGCTGGCTTTGAGAGGCGCACACTGGAGGTGCGGCAGACGGAGAGAGAGGGGGAGGTCATGTCAGCGGGGAACAGCGTAAGAGCCCAGAGGCCCGGGAGCCTCATTCCGTTTGCCGGGAGCTTGACCGCAGAAGCCTCATCCATCAGATGAATGCCCGCCCAGCAGAGGAATGTTCGAGGTCGAGACCATGGCTGCCCGGCCCCTGGTCCCACCTCCACTCCCTGCCGCCGCATTCCAGCGGCAGATTTCCTGCCGGCACCCCCGTAGTGAGGCGGAACTGTGCTCCTGGCCCAGGGCGCCTGGTAAGAGGCGTCCCCAGGTGGTGCGCAGAGGCGCGCCTCCCGGCCACCCGACACCCTCCTCTCCTGCGGTCTGGGTAGTGACCACACACCCTGTGCGGCTGGAGGCGCGGCCTTCTCACTGGTTCTTGCTTCGTTAGTGCATCCTCCCACCAAGGGTTTATTGAACTCCCACTACGCACACCAATGATGGGCGGAAGATGAGACAGCAAACGGGAAAATACCCCGGGTGTCTCGGGGCCTCTCTGTTAATGTTAGATCGACATATCCCGACGTGGTCCGGTAAATAAACCGTGGGCCTCTGTCCCTGGGCCTTCCCACTGCTGTGTGCTCGGCTGGCTGGCTCGAAGGTGAGATAAATTTCCAGGGGCGTGAGGAGGAGGAGGGGGAGTTCGCTCCCCGGTGGAGGCCCGCCCACTCTGCAGGGCCTGCCCCGCCTCCTGGTAGGTGCTCCGGCAACGAGAGGGCCCACCAGCACCCAGCTTCAGCCCGATCCCACGAGGGTGGAGATTGTTCTCGGGAGGACGAGTGGCAGGCAGGCGAGGCCACCGTGGAGCTGAGACCCGAGTGTGGGCGGGGGGGAGGGGGCCTGGCGTGCCGAGAGCCGGGGGCAGGGCCTGCCTGGAGGGGCTTGGCAGGGACAGAGAGAGGCCCTGAGGGGGGCGGGCCCGGAGGCCCCGGACGAGCCCCGAAGGCCCCAGGAAGGGGAGCAGAGCATGTTGTCGGTGCTGGACGGCCAGCAGCTTTGTCGGAGCGGTGCGGTGCCATGCGGTGCACGGGTTTCCTTGCAGAGGGTGGCCACGCTCCCTCCTGGCACGGGCTGGTCGGGGCTGGAGCCTCCTGTCTCTCTCTGCATCCCTGCCACGGGGGCGTCCCGGCAAATAACGAGTGGGTGGTGGCTTAGCCGGGAGAAGGGAAAACCGAATATGGAGCCCCTTCTTTTGGGGGCCTTTGGAAGCCCTTCTTGGCAAACAGAAAGGACTCTCCCCGGTGAGCCCCGACAACTGGGTCCCTGCCCGCCGGGTGCCTCACAGCAGCCACGGGCACTTGCTCTAGAAGGCAGACCAAAAGTCCAGAATGAACCCCTGTCAGCTGTGCTACCTGTCCGTTCCTGTGTGCCTTCCCCACCTGCTTCGGGCCCTGGAGGCTGCTGCCTGCCCACACCCACCAGCTGTGTCCTTACCTTGTGGGTCCTGTTTGGGCTTGGCCCGTGAGAGGCCCGCAGGTGGTTGGAGGAAGAGAGGGGAACGGGGCCAGCGTACCCCCTGCCTGGACTCCGTGGGTGCCGGGTCACCGGCTGGTCTGCGTCCATCGGCGTGCTGAGGCCAGCGTGACGCCTGAGAGCCACGGATCCCCACCTCTTTCCTCCTCCGAGTTCCGCGGCTTCTCGCCAGTAGCCGGAAGCCAGTTGCGATGGGCGAGTTCACCCCCAGGAGCGGCCAGGGCTGCGAATCAGGGTTTCCCTCGCCCTCTAGACAGGCGGGGTCCAGGGCTCGCCAGCCCGCCGCGGTCTGTGTGCCTCCACCTGAGGCCTCAGGCGGGGCCGCACCAAGTAGCTCCCTCTCCCAATTCCGACCGGCCCTCTTGCCCGACCCCACCGACCCCGGGGTGGGGGGTGCGGCAGCCCCGGTGTACGGAGGGTCTGTGAGTTCCTCCTTCCAGGGACTGTCCTGGGAGCCCTCACCTGGAGTGTGTCACCTGTTTCCTTCCCCGACCCTGCTGGTCACGGGACAGGCCAGGAAAAGGCTGAGCGTTGAGGAGCTCAGGTTCAGGTGCGTGCTCAAGGCCACCCCCCCGAGTGGTGGTAAGGAGGGCACTTCCTAAGGGGGCACTGTCGCTGGTCTCCAGGACCCTCCTGGGCAGAGCGGCTGTCCCTGCAGGCCGGGTTTGGGCCTCCCTCGGGCGCCTCGGTCACTGTTCCACCCTGATGCCCTCGGAGTCTCGCTCCGGCCCCAGCGGGCTCAAGCCTTTCTCGTTTAATTTTCCGGACACCGACTCGGAGGCGTGGCTCACGGCCGGCCGTCACCGGCCTGCGTGCTGCGGTCGAACGGGGCGTCGGCTGGACGGTGTGTCCTGTCTCCTTCTGCGGGAGAACTCGCTGGGCTCTGCAAGCTGACGGTTTAGTCCCGTGTTCGGGGCCACCCACACGGCAGCGCTGTTACCGTTGATCCCTGGGTACAGATCGGCGACGGTGGGAGTTAATTGGATCTGCCCATAAAACCACGTGTCCGACACGGACCCGTTCGCTCTTACCCAGCGACTGACTGACTGCTCACGAAATCCGAAATGCCGCATGGCCAGAGTTCACGGTCACGCGCGCACACAGCCCTCGTGGCGGACAGACATCGAGGCACCGCCCACGGGTCGAGCCTGTGTCCCACGTGCTGCGGGAGACGCAGCCGTGAAGGGCCCGTCTGCCCAGGGGGGACGCAGTCAGTCAGGGCCGGGGGTGACTGGGGGCAGAAGCCTCTGAAGCCTGAGGCGTGAGATGGGTGTTTGCACGATGGCCGTGAGGAGCGGGGGTGCGGAGGTCGGGGGGGTCTTGTACTTTAAACACTCTGTGCGACCCCCCAGGAGATCTGGGAAGCTTCCCGCACACCAAGTTTAGTGAAAGGAAGCAGGGTAGCAACAGCGTGAGCAGGAGTGCAGGACAACAGAGAAAGGGGGAGGCCCGGGGTCAGTGCAGCGGGAGCACACGCGGAGAGGGACCTTCGCTCACGCTGGCCCGCACGCGAGGTGCCGAGCGTCCCGGCAGCCGCGGCGGAGAGGAGACCGCTGCGGACCGGGTGCTTACAGGGGGGAGGGGTAGCGATCCCGTCTGACGTGCTGGGCTTCGGAGAGCGGCTCTGCCACACCCAGCCTCCACGTCCTCGTTTGAAAGTGGGGACAGTGCTCCTTAACTCACAGTTTTATGCACATTCAATAGTATCCTGGGAGCTACACAGTGGGTCTTCTGTAGGTGCTGGCTCCTGGTGTTTCCACTACTCTGTGCAAAGCTGCTTCCGGATGCTGGAAAAAATGACCTTCGGAGGGAGGGGACGTGTTTAACCGAGACGAGGCAGCCTGACAGAGGGACCGTGGACTGTGCATGTGAGTGTGTGAGCGTGTGTGTGTGCACATGTGAACATGTGTGTTTGGAGGGCAGGGCAGGAAGCCAACAGCCAACTATGAAATGAGTGGTTAGAGCAGCTGGTGACTTCACTCTGGAGCACCTTGAAGTGAAAAATTTTTTGAGACATCGGTGACGTCATCGCCGGGCTCCGCCCAGGACTGGTCCCCTGGTTGCGGCGGCGTGGCGGGCAGGTGTGGCGCCGGCGTGCACCGTGGATCTGCTCAGCCGCCAGCGCGAGCTGCGAAGGGTGGGGGGCCCTGCGCTTGGCCTGGCTCTCCCCCCACCCCCAGGAAGTGGCGGCAGGGGGTTGCGGCGCTTGGGCTGTGTGTACAAAGCGAGCTTCCTGATTATGCAAAACAAAGCTAGGAGACGAAGTTATTCATAGCCTTCGGATCCGCAGAATGTTAACTTTTAAATGCTTTTTTTCCACAACAAATTTTAAAACGCCGGGGACCTAAAGATAAATTCCACCCATATGTCTCTGCCTGAGCTATGCTTAACCAGGAACTTCTTTCGGAAGAGGACTTTAGGTGAGAGATTTCCTTCCCGGTGGATGAGAACATTCTGGCAAAGAAACAAACCCAAGAAGGGTGGGGGTGGAGAAGAGTTCTATTTATCCCTCAGGACACATTAACATTTTCTGCATGGCATGCTCTACTCCTGGAGCTGGGGGGGGGACCCGGAAGGAATGGAGATGAGGCTCCCCTTACTGACACCGGCTGACTAGGACACTGGGCAACAGGAATGGCCGGGGGTGGTTGAGTTGTGGGGGTGGTTGTTGTAGGGGTTGTTTTTCTCCTTCCTTTCCTCCTCCCCCTCTTCCTTCTCCCCGCTCCATAAGCCGAAACCCATAATAGAAATGTAACATTGCTTGATTTTTAAATGTTTGCAACTTTATGAGGGCTAAAAAACTCTTGTCTTCAGATGAAATTGGACTCTCACGCTTCCAGGTCATAAACCTGAAGCAAATTTAACAGGAAGCCCTGAATGCCAAGGTCAAAGAAACCAGGGTTCTGCGCTTTGCAGGGACGCCCAGGCTGGGACGGGGAGGAGCCAGGGACAGCCCTGACCTGCGTGTTTTGAGGTGAGGTCTGGTGTGGAGCAAGCAGCTCCCTCTGGGGAGGGGAGGTGACAGTGTTTCCTGTGGGGGCGGGGTAGCATCTACGAAAGGTACGTGAGCACCTGGCAGGTACAACAGACAGACAGATTCCTGTGCTAATTAGTGAAAACAGATATTTTTGGAAAGCTAGGAATAGATGCAGCCGTGGCTAGGACATAAGATGCTGAGGTGTCTTGAAGAGTAAATGGTGACGGGGACCGGCTCTCAGGACAAAGGATGGGCTTTCTCAGGACGCTGGGAAATGACTTGCGTGCCCCGAGAGCATCCGCTTCTCTGCACCCCTGGACGGCAGCGGGGGCAGGCGAGGGCGCCGGAGGGCAGAGGGGACCACACCACCGATGTCACCATGGTCACTAACCCAGCGGGTTCCCTGCTCCGCTGCCCCCACGCGGGGGCTGCGCTGGGTCACCGCACCCTGCTCGAAGCGACCCCAGATCGTCTGTGGGCAGAAGGAGCCTCTCAAAAGCCCGGCCACATAGAAAAGGGGTCTCACGAGTGGTTTCCTGCAGTTGGATTTCCCCAAGTTGGAGTACGTCCGTCCCTCCTGTTTTCCACGTAATGTAATACTCAAAAACATCCTGTTCAACCAGAATCCCACAGAGCAGACGTGGAAATTCTGCTCCAGCCCTAAACCATTAACTTCGTGGCGAGACTCCCATTCTGAACTCCGGGAAAGGGAGCGGCTGAATTTTTCACCTGGGCCTGACCTGGCCCCTGAGTTCCCTTGAACTTTGTCTGTCTCGCAGGTGGAGGAGGCCCTGAGTGAAGTGGATTTCCAGCTCAAGGTGGACCTGCACTTCACGGACAGCGAGCAGCAGTGAGTGTCCCCCAAAGCCTTGGACGGTGGTGTCGCTTCCCCGCCATGGACCCTGGCCCTTCCCTCCCCGGGGGCATCCTCACAGCCACGCGCCTCAGGACGTCCTCAGACAGGTGCTGGCCCGCCGCGGTGCCCTGTCCGCACCCACGGCTCCCCCAGGGGCCGGGGCTCAGCTCACCTGCGCGGGCAGGCACTCCAACCCCCACACTTCAGGCACAGGGCACCCCCGACTCCCGGCTTCTGGGGCCTGCGCCTGCCCCTGCCCGGCCCTCCATGCACTTCCACCGCGGCGTTCGTTAGGTTTTTAGATGCAGGCCTCTCTGAGCTGGCCCCCTCTGATTCCAAGTTCCCTTCTGACTCAGAGGAGGGTCCGCTGGGACCCCACCACTTGGCACGGATATCTGCTCTTGGGTCGCTGCCGTCTGACACTGAAAATCCGTTTGTGCTCCTTTTTCCCGGACCTGCTTCCCCTGCGCTTCTCCCGCGGGCTCCGCCTCCCACCCCGGGGTCACCGGCAGAGCCCGAGCCCCTCCGGGATTCGGGGCGGTGGGGGAGGGGTGGGTAATAAATAAATAGTCTTTGTTTCCAGGCATTGAGAAATCTGGTCAACCGTATGACGGGATCTCCAAACTCGCACCCAGTTCGCAGCTTCTTTTCACTGTCCTTGTCGCCTTGCCTCACCCCCGGGCCCCAGGCTCTGTCTGGGGAGGGGACTCCGTGGGCAGCAGGCCGCTTACCGTGTGTCCTTCCCGCCTCCCCGCCGGGCGGTGCAGGCCGGGCACGGCGGGGACGTGGAGGTTGCACGGGCAGCGCTGCAGCCCACCGGTGTGCATGCTGACGGGCTCTCCGCCCGGTGCAGAGGGAGGCGCCTGGTCCTTGGCGCTGCTCTTGGTGCTCGCGGCCGTCCCTTGGAGACGGCGCCCTCGGGCAGCCCTCCAGCTCCTCCCTGCTGTTGCGTGCTGCCGCGGGGCCTCCTGTGGTTGGCGTGTTCGCCCCTTGCAGGGAGCTCTTTCGTAAGATTCTTCTCCAGAGAACCCACATCTGGCCCTGGGGAAGTGAGCCCCGACCCTCCGACCCTCGCCGCCTGTGGGTGGGGTCCCCTCCCCTGCTCTGCGGCTCAGTCTTCTTTTGGCTGATGCGGCTGCCCCCCTCAGCTTCCCTCCTGAGGACGTTTGCGGGATCAGCCAGGCACCCAGGCCCAAGGTCCCCCCCATTTCTAGGGGCTGCAGGGCGAGCTCACTTGAAAACCCCTCTCCTGAGGCCTCAGGTTCTGGGGGGCACTCCCCCTCCGTCGGTTCTGCTGGCGGCATCGCAGCACGCTCTGGCCACTCTGCGGGTTGATCTTCGATCCTGGTCTCCACAACGTCACCAGCAATAGGTCACTTTATCCCCTGGGGAGCGGGGAGTCGGGGGGCCAGTGGGCCAGAGCTGGCGGAATCGTCTCCCAGTTCCCCCGAAGTCCAGACTCCCTGTCGGAACTCCCCCCGCCCCCTTCTCCAGGACGGCCCATACCCGAGGTGTGTCTGATGGTCACAGGAGTTCCCATGCGGAGGAGAGTTGAGGAGGGGGTCTGAGCCGTCAGAGACCAGACGGCGGTGCCCAGTGAGGACAGGCCTCTCTCTGCTCCTGTGCAGAGGGTCCTGCAGAGGCTCCCGGGGTCAGAGACTCTGTCCGTGGTGCTGCCGGGCTGTCTGGGCGCAGCAACACCATCACCGAGTCCTCACTCCTGTGCGGACCCCCAGCCCCTCCGGCCGCCTGCTGGCCCCATCACTTCTGTCTGCCCCTTGGTGGGATGGTGGGTGCTTGAGAAGTCTCCTCTTCCCCCCTCGGCCCCCAGAACCGTCACTCCAGCACCAAGCGGAGCGCAGGGCCCTTTAAGACGGCGGCCGGTTCCTAACCTGCGGGCTCGGGAGCAGAGCCCCACCTGCGTTGTTCCCGTGTCCCCCCTGAACCCTCTGGGGTTTCTTCCATCTCCTCATTGCACTGACGGTCCCCTGTGGGCTCCGAGCCACGGACACGTCCCCGTCCCTTCTGAAACCTCAGTAGCCCGATGTGTGCAGTGGGGTCACTGTAGACCCCGCCCCTCCCGGGTCTGTTGTGACGACGAAGGGAGACCATACCCACGCCAGCCCAAGGGCGTGGCCACCGCGTGGCGTCTCCTCTCCACAACAGGAAGCGCTTAACACCCGTCAGAGCAGGCCCCCGCGGAGTGTCAGGTTAGCTCAGTGGAACAGGAAGACGGCGGCTGCGGAAGAATCAAAAATGCCATATTTTTTCATAAACCGGGGTTCAGGATGACGAGGCATCCGCAGCCCATCCCGGGTGTCGACGCCAGGCTTTGGCACGGCCCCCAGGCAGACGGCGGCTCCAGAGCCACGCAGGTCTGCGTGGGGAGGATGTAGAGGGGTATGGCACGCGGTGTCGGGGGTGGAGGGGCTCACCTCGGGGGCGGCGGGGAGCCTGGCCCCCGGGGACATATCTCCATGTGCGCAGCCGCTTGGGGTTGTTGCCCTGGCGCAGCGGATCGAGTCTAGGGCTGCTGCCAAGTGTTCTGCACAGCACTACTCCGTCCCCGCGTCAGCGTCACCGGGGTGAGAGACCCTGCTCTTGTCTGGTCTCGCGTCACCACCGGCGGCTCTGCAGAGGCCTGGGGCACGGTGTCTCGGCGACTGTGAGTGACGCTGCAGCGAACGCAGGGTGCATGTATTGCATGTATTCCTCCAGTCACTCCTTTCAATAAGCAAACACTTGGTCCGCTCCTGCTGTTTGCCACGTGCTGGGCTAGGCCTTGGGGCCGTGAAGATGAGTTGGTCACCCTTCCCGGGGCGCTGGGGTAGGAGTGGAGCGGGAAGGACGGACTCACATAGGCAGCGCAGTTTGGGACACCCGGTGGGAGATGCAGCGTGTGTGTGAGGCGGGCCAGGCAGGGGCCCTGTGGAGCCGGGCCTGGACGGAGTCCAGGTTCCCTGCAGTCGCTGACGAGAGTGTGATGTCTGTCTTCCCTTCCCCGAGCCTCAGTTTCTCCACCTGCCTGTGGTGGGGAAGGCAGTCTCTCCCAGACCGGCCGTGCAGGGGTTGGACAGGATGACGCGTGTGTGGCGGGTGGCCGGGCCCAGGCTGTCCTGCACGCCTGCCCGGACGCAGGCAGAAGTCACCCGCCGCCACCACTCACGGGAGCTCGCTCGCTTGCCTTCCAGGCTGAGGGACGTGGCGGGCGCCCCCATGATCAGCAGCCGGACGCTCGGCCTGCACTTCCACCCGCGCAGGGGCCTGCACCACCAGGTCCCCGTCATGTTCGACTACTTCCACCTGTCGGTGATCTCCGTGACCGTCCACGCGGCGCTGGTGGCTCTGCAGCAGCCCCTGGTCAGGTACGGCCGCGCGGGCCCCGAGGCATGGCGGGGGGCACCTTTCTGCTCCACCTCCGTGGCGGGTGCACGACAGGTACGGCAGTGGGCAGTGGTGACCAGTATGGGCCAGAGCAGCCTGTCCCCAGCAGAGGGTCTGGCGCTGAGCCTCACTGAGGGGCAGGGGACAGGCGGGCGGGGGAGCCGAGGGCCCCAGGAGCCAAGGGGACACAGGCCGGGAGCCCGGGACTGTAACCAGCACAGTACAGATCGGCCCCCGGAGACATGGACTGTACGTCTGGCTTGGCTTTTCTCTCTCTCACTGCGCCTCATCGGAGACGTCCCCTAATGCCCAGAGACAGCCACCTTCCTCTCGGAGACGGGAACACTAATGGGTCCTGTCCTCTGGAGGTGTTAGTGGCCAGGCCGGAGTGGGGCTCAGCACCCCCAACCCCCGCCCGCCCCCGCAGCCTGGCGGGGGCTGGGACCGAGGGGGAGCCTGGACGGCGGCGGCGGTGGGAAATGCCTGTCAGACAGGCCGCACTCTGGTTTCCTAGCGAAGCCATTTGCGAGGTGTCCGCTCAGCCCCGCCAGAGGGAAGCAGGTGTGAAATGAAAACTTAACCTGGAAAGAACCTTCCCTCCCCCGGAGCAGACTGAGGAGAAGCATCCCACTGTTAATCCTCCCGGGGTTTCAGTCGAGGAGGGATTCGGGTGCACTGGAAAATCTCCTTCAGACCATGCCTTGGCCACGTAATGAGTCTTCTTAGTTAGTCACTTGCAGTCTGGCCCCCAAATGTGCTGTGTGCATCGCTGCTCGGATACGTTCTGTATGGCTTCTGGAACGTTCCTCCCAGCCAAGCTGGACACTTGCCTCCAGTCTCCATTAGAAACAAATCAGATCAACAAGAGCTGTATGAATATAATAATGACTGCGTTATTCATGTGGATTGTGTTACGTGCGTGATACTGCGATAGGAAGTGCCCGCATTTGTTGAGTCATCACGGTTCGCCAGACGCGGGACTGAGAGCTGAGTTTGTCTGACCTGGTGAAACCCTCGCGGCCCCCCCACAGGGACAGAGACACGAGGACGTTTAAAAACTGTGCCTGTGTCCCAGGGCAGGCGGGGGCCACTGCGGGGGCCGAGCCCTGGCCCGTGGAGTTCACGGGCTGCCCCTTGACCACCCAGCCGTGCTGTCCTTGAGTGATAGCTGTGTCTAGCCGTCCTGTCCACCCAGTTTGGCTCACGCACCTTTCTGCACCCACTGGCCTGGGTTTGCCTCCGTCCTGGTGCACCTGCCGCTCTCCAGACCAGGCCGTGTTGACGGCGAGGGCCCCGCCTCCACGATCCCGCCCCCGTGGCACCGACTCGCCGCCTGGCGTGTGGCGCGAGCCTCTGCGGAAACGTGTGAGTGAGATCCAGCCGCAGACGCAGAGTGGACCAAAACCTTCCCCGAGGTTTTCCTGGGCCCCTGCGCTGGAGAGGCCGCCGTCTGAGGCTGCTGCTTATCACGCCTTTGCCCTGAGAGACTCGGAGCCTGCCTGGGGAATGAGGCGAGTCTGTCGGTAGCGTTTACCCTCTGAGACAATGACCATCGGGACCCTTAGCAGGAGAGATCGGGAAGAAAGAGGAAGTGAGTGCGAGGGGACTTTGTCCACGTGTCTACTGACGAGAGTCAGAAAGGTCAAGCGGGCGGCCGTACCCCCAAAGGAGAAAAGTTCAGGTCATCTTGGCAGTGGCCCCAGTGTCCTTGGATGGCCGCTGTCACGCCAGGTCAGCTGATCTTGGTGGTGGCGTGCGGGACTGGACAGGGTCTGTTTTTGTGTGGGGGGCACATGACGGTGTCTCCAGCCACTGTGGACACCATGGACGGCGGTCCCCGACACCCATGGCCCTACTGGAACTAGCCCCGCTACGGGGTCTCTCATGTCATCTCCCCCCCACCCCCCAAGGGGGCTGACGTGGCGATGCTGTCACTCTGTGTACATCCCGTTTCTCCCCCCCCTTCTCTCCTCTGCAGCTTCACCCGCCCGGGAAGGGGCTCCTGGCTCGGTAAGGGCGGCCCAGACGCGGGGCCGGAGCAGTCGAGCCTTTCCCTGGAGAACCTGGTCTTTGGAGCCGGATACTGCAAGCCGACCTCCTCGGAGGTAACACCTGAGGGGGCGGGGCGCCGTGGGTCCCGTGAGAGTCCGATGTTATTTAATGTCCTGCTTAGAGGTTCCTCGCTCCGTGTGTCCCTCCCTGTCATCCACCCACGTGTCCGTTCCCTGCTGCGATTTCATCAGACTCATCCCTAAGGCTAGGCCTTGGGGCCAGCGCCGGCGGGGAAAGGGTCTTCCTACAGCGCCTCTTCCATGTGGCCCTTGAAGGGCGTGGTTCTCTGGGGGTCACGGGTTCTGGGGGGGCCCACGGGGGCCACCCCCTGAGCACATGGTCACCTTGGAAGCTGGTCGGACCCCAGCCAGCTTTGAAACCTGGCTGCCAGTCTCGTTGGCTCATTTCCCTGAGCTTTGGTTTTCCCACCTGCAGAGCAGGGCTGCTGATACTCAGGGCCCTCCCGGGGTCGTAGCGACGGGCGTGGGACCAGTGACTGACGCCACTGTGTGAGTCGTGCTCATGTGCAAGGCTGGGTGGTGACGGAGCAGAGCTACACGGACGTTCCGTCCTGTCCCCGCAGATAGAGCTGGGGGTGGAGGGACAGACAGGGGTCTCCGGGGACGTGGGCGTGCCCAGGGGACTGTTCAGAGCCCCTGGGCCTGGTGCGGGGTGGCGGGCGGGGGTCCCTGCCTCTCAGCTGAGGAGGCGGAGCGTGACCCGGCCACATCGGCGCCTCTGAGACTGTGGCCACGGGGCACGCAGGGAGACGGTTCTGGCCGCAGAGTCCCACTGCGCTGAACACGATGTGACGTGGCGGGGGGACTCCTTCACCCTCGTCGAGACTCAGGCTCCTCCACTCCCAAACGGGTGACACTTGCATCTCAGAGAGGATTTCGGGAGTTAATATGTGTAAAAACGGCACAGAAATAGACTCCTACCAGGCAGGGGATACAATAGCGTCTTTATTAAATAATCTTCTTCTTGGCTATTTTGGGGATATGTGTCAGAGAAGACATCCGTGTCTTCTGCCGGCGTCAGATGAAAGGGCTTGTTTGTGGGTGCTCCGCTGCGAGCGTGCTCTCGGAGCTCTGCTCACGGGCGTATCTTCAGGACGTGTTTCTCTCCCACGCACCCCCCTTCTGGACCCCTTCCGGACCCCATCCAATGCCGAGGGCTCCGTGCGGCGCCCACCCCTCCTTCCCACCGGGCGAGGGCAGCCAGGCAAAGAATACACCCCCTCCCCACCGCACCGCCCCTGCCGGGCCTGAGGGCTCTGCCCCCAAATCCCCAAGAAGCCCCAAGCCCCATGCACCAGCGAATCCCCCCGGAATCTACTGGAATCTGAGCAGACCGCAGCCTCAGCTCAGGGGTGGGAGAGCAGGTGCTCCCCGCAAAGCAAGGCTCTCCGTGCAGAGGCGTCTGCAGAAACTCGCGTCTCAGAGCCAAAGGAGCTGACCGGCTGGACAAATCACAGAGCACGGGGAGGAGAGGGCCGCAGTGACGCCACGTCCCTTCGTCGTCAGCCCCTCTCCCCCTGGAGCCCCTTTCCCAGGCTTCGGACTCAGAGTCGGAGTGAGGGCTTGCGTCTCTCCCGATCTGGCCAGCAGCTCGGCCCCGGGGGAATCACTTCTTTTCTCTGACTCGCGGCTTGTCCGTGGAGAGGGGCACCGGTGCCGCCCGGCGGGGCAGCTGAGATTAGATGAGTAAGCGCATGAAAGCCTGGAGCTTACAGCCGGGCATCAAAGTGCTCCGTAAAACCCTCTGCTAGCCTTATATTTCTTCTGGCTGATCCGCGTACTTACATCGAATAATAATTCAATCGAATGTTACTCTGAGAGCCCCAGTGTGGCCGCGCGGGCGGGAAGCCAAGGGAAAGGACTCCAATGTGATGCTGTTCTTGGCTTCAGTACCAGCCTGCTGTGTGACCCTGCGTGGGAAGCATGCCCTCTCTGGGCGTCAGTTTTCCGTTGTGTGGGAGGAGGACTGCATGAGGGTGTCCCGGAGGCCTCTCTGCTGCTGGTCCTGCGGCAGCTCTGACCCTGCCTGGACAGCGGGGGGCGCTCCACTGCTGCTCGCTGAGTGAGTCTAGATTCTCCGGAGAATCGGAGTGGGTGGCAGGTGCGTGTTCGCAGACACACACGTCTCCGAGAGAGGTGAACTTACTCTAAGGAATCTCCTCATGGGGCAGCTGAGGCCGGACCCTCCCAAGCCGCAGGGTAGATCGGCAGGCTGCAGACCTGATGCCGACCACCTCAGGTCTCCTTTGTGCACACCCGCGCCGCTCCCGGGCGCGCTGCTGATGCCCGGGAACCTGGTCACCCCCATGCTCCTTCTGCAGGCAGAGGGACGGACGCAGAGGGGTTCAGCTAGGTCCCCGCAGTCACACGGCCAGGCAGGTACCAGGCTGGGGTGTGGACGTCGTCGGCCTGTGATGCTCCCTCCCCACCGCTGTCATCAGCCACGAGGTCGACGGTTAAGCCAGCAGGGACACGGGCTCTTCTGCTCTGCCAGGCAGTGCCGATGACTCACCCGTGTGTGCCTGGCGCGGGGCACACCCTCCGGGGTCTGTCGCTGAGTGAACGAGTGTCAGAGCCCGGGGCCCGAGCACCTCTGAGGGCAGGAGAACGGACGCCCCCACAGGCTGACTGTGCAGGTGAACGGGTCCCCAGCGGGTCTGTGTCTGGCCCTGGGGCTTTGCTGGCCCGCAGAGATCCCCGCGGCTCCGCCGGGGGCGTGGGCGCGGCCAGGGCAGGTGGCTCTGTTGGGGAGCAACAGGCCAGCAGCCACCGCAGGGAAACGTCTCTGTCCTCGGCCTGGCCTGGCCTGGAAGAGGGCCTCCCAGACGCAGGAGCATATGCCGTGGAGACAGCGCAGGTTGCCGCGCTGGGGCCGTCTCCCGTGGAAGTCGGGCTGCGTGGAACTGAGGGCAGCACCTGCCTCGAAGGGACTAACGCTCGCTCCACACACTTCCACGGGGCGTTTGGCTTCCACGCTGAGCCTTGGACCGTGGCAGCCCCCTCTTGCTGACGGGAGGCATGGCTCTGGCAGGGCGAGGTGAAGCGGGGGAAACTGAGGCACAGAGCTAGCTTCCGGGCGGACATCTCCAGTCTCCCAGGCGTGCCCTTCTTCTCACTCTCCGCTCCAGTTTTATCGGGGGCTTTGCACTTTGCCCGTGCTCTACACACACCTGTGCTTGTCGTCGTCGACGTCTTCGTCCCCTTCATGATGGTGTCGAGTCACGTGGGAGAGACTCAGACCCCCATCGGAGCCGTTGGCACACCGTGCTGTGTAGCTGCCTCTGGACAGCAGTGTCTCCGCAGGTTTGTTTACTGAGCAAGCGCTTATGGAGCGCCTAAGGTGTCTCAGGGTCTGTGCAAGGAGCTAGAGACACAGGCTTGACAGACATGGCACCCTCGGGCCCCACCTGGGGGGCGTCTCCATTTCCGCAGCCCGGCCGTCGCTGACGGGCTGTAGGTGCCCAGGCAGCGCTGGGGGCACAGGTGCGGGAGATGCTGTAGCGTTAGGTTCTCGTGTCTGCGTGAGCGCTGACCGCAGCCAGCTCAGCCGCCGGGGGTGGACGGCCCAGAGCCCAGGGCTCATGACACAGTCAGAGGCCAACTGGACTTTTAGTTGTGTTTCAAGTCAGAACAAAATTGGTTCTCCTGGCTGGCGTAGCTCAGTGGATTGAGCGCGGGCTGCGAACCAAAACATCGCAGGTTCGATTCCCAGTCAGGACACATGCCTGGGTTGCAGGCCATGACCCCCAGCAACCGCACATTGATGTTTCTCTCTCTCTCTCTCTATCTCCCTCCCTTCCCCTCTAAAAATAAATAAATAAAATCTTTTAAAAAATGGTTCTGATTAGTTTGGATTATCTTCGTCTTTATATCAATATAGCCATACAAATATAAGTTTAAATCTTTTTATTTATTTTTTATATTACATTTCATTGATTATGCTGTGACAGTGGTCCCACTATTTCCCCCTGTGTCTCTCGCGACTCGGCAGCCCTCACTTCCTCGGGGAACCCCCACACCAGTGTCTGTGCCCCCAGAAGTCATAATCTGGCTCTGGGAGCAGTGATCATGTCTCCTTATTTTTGTGTCCTGGTTACGGACGTGAGGAGGAAGCACAGCTTGGGGGGCTGGGTGCATCTTCGCTGAAGGGCCCCGTGGTGTGCTGCGGGGTGTTCAGCAGCATTCCCAGCACCCACCCAGTAGACGCCAGTAGCTCCTCCCACTCAGCTGTGATTGTCATCGCTGTGCTGGGGCCAGAGGCTGCGCTGCCTGTGGCTTGTTCAGGGAGCGGCGACGAGGAGCAGGGGAGCGCGGAGAAGACCCGGCTGTCCAGCCGTCACACAGGGAGAGCAGCCAAGAAGGTCTGCGCAGAAATACAGTGATGGGCAGACTTGGAAAAGCCTGTTTCTTCTTGAACACGCACATTAAGATTGCCAGATCCCAGGAAAACGTCTCAGCTGAGTAAAGTGACGGCAACCCTGGGCAGAAATCAGATTAACGTCTCAAGTCTCCTCCATATCGACCCAGAAAGTTTCAAGTCAGCCTCCATCTTGTTTACAGAGAGAGGCCCAGAAGCAAAAAAAAAAAAAAAAAATCAAAGAAATGAAACAGATTGAAGAGCACGCAGCAGAGACCAGAAACACAGGTTAGCCGCATGCCCAGTCTGGCCGTATCGACAAAACCGCGAGCTTCGACTTCAAGACTGCTGGGGAGTGACCCCGACACCTGGCCCTCCCCTGCCAGAGAGCCAGCAGTGGGCTTCGCCTGCGTGTCCCCAGGGCCGTGCTCCCCACTGCCCCGGAAGGCAGGCCCAGGGAGCACAGGCTCCGTGGGTCAGGGGGAGGGACCCAGGAGACCCAACCAGCAGCAGAACCTGGCCCCAGTGAAGAAGCCCTCCACCCCCACCCAATGCAGCGGGATTTCCGGTGGTGGCAGACCTGCAGCTGCCCTGGGTCCCCGTTCTCCTCCCCTCTGCACGGGTGTGTCCACGCCAGCCCCCCTCCTGTTCATCCCCTGGTGCTCCGGGTAGGACA